ATGTTTGATTTGTTGGGTCTGAGTTTCCCATGTCTAAACTCAATCCGCATCTTGCTCGCCCCGATGAGTCGACATACGATACCTGGATCTCACATCATGTCATTCTCCCGGCCTCATACACATCATCCGAAGCTTGTTCTAGCAACTCCCTGCCAGTCGACTCCAACACACAAACGGATATGGTAGAACACCAAACATTGCCTCTCGCCCTCCCTCTCCCTCTTCCCAACCCACCTCCTACCTCGCCACCCCCACAAACACCCTGCCTCCAAAACTACCCACCCCAATACCTGAACCAGCACCCAGCAACTTGCCAGCCATTCCCCTAACCTTAACCCCACTTGTCCAAGTCTTAGACAACCCATTACCACCACCTTCGACCCGCACCTCGCCTATCATCACCCGTTCCCGAAACAACATTCACAAACCTATCAACAAACTTAGCTTCTCTGCTCAACTCGCCACAGATATTGAACCCACATGTGTAACTCAGGCTATCAAAGATAGCAGATGGTGACAGGTGATGTCTGAGGAGTTTGATGCCTTAGTTCGTAATGGCACTTGGGAATTTGTACCTCTCAATGGTGTGCAAAATATTATGGGGTGTAAATGGATTTTTCGACTTAAACGCTTACCTGATGGCTTTATAGACAGGTACAAAGATCTCTTAGTGGCAAAGGGGTTTCACCAAAGACCAGGAGTGGACTATCATGAGACGTTTAGTCTGGTTGTAAAGCCGACCACAGTTCGTCTCGTCCTCTTGCTTGCCGTCAGCCGAGGTTGGAATCTTCGTCAACTCGATGTCAACAAAGCCTTTCTACAAGGCACCCTCACTAAAGATGTCTTCATGGCTCAACCTCAAGGTTTTATTGATGCCGACAACCCACATCACGTCTGTAGATTGTGGAAGGTGATCTATGGTCTCAAACAAACCCTCGAGCCTGGTACAATGAGCTTCGACAGTTCCTTCTTGCATCTCACTTCTCGAACTCAGTTGCCGACACCTCCTTGTTCATTCTCAATGACAATGGCATAATAATCATGTTAATTGTCTATGTTGACGACATCATCATCACAGGTAACAATGCAACATCAATTTAGGACTTCATCTTGGTTCTCGCATGTCGCTTCTCGCTCAAAGACCTCAGATCACTTGAATATTTCCTTGGAGTTGAAGTTGTTTCTCACCCTCAAGGTCTTCTCCTCTCATAGCGAAGATACATTGTCGACTTGCTGGCTCGAACAAAGATGACCGATGCTCGCACTGTCGCAACTCCACTTGCCACCATGCCCGTCCTTACACTTCAATCGGGTACAACCCTTACTGACCCAACCGAGTTTTGAGCTATAGTTGGGAGTCTTCAGTATCTCTCCTTCACTTGTCCAGACATTGCCTATGCAGTTAACAAACTTTCAGAATACACGCATCGTCCGACTATAGACCATTGGAACGCCACCAAGCAACTTCTCAAATATCTATGCAGCACCATTGATTACAGCATCATGTTATATCATCAATCACCTCTCGCTCTCTACGCCTACTCAGATGCCAACTAGGCAGATAACAAAGATGACTTCACATCCACCAGTGCCTACATTGTATATCTTGGTCGAAGCCCAATATACTGTAGTTCAAAGAAACAACAAACAGTGGCTCGCTCCTCAACTGAAGCTGAGTACCGTTCGATCGCTTCGATGGCTGTCGAGTTGAGATGGATCACATCTCTTCTCGGTGAACTTGGGTTCACATCATCACAACAGGCGGTTATCTACCGTGATAATGTGAGCGTAACAAATTTCTGCTCTAATCCGGTCTTCTATTCTCGAATGAAACATGTGGCTCTCGACTTTCACTTCATTCGAGAACAAGTTCAAGAATGCATCTTAAGAGTCACTCATGTTTCTTCCACGGACCAACTAGCTGATGCACTCACCAAACCACTACCCCGCATGCATTTTCATAACTTACTGATCAAGATTGGTCTCTCCTCAATGAGCTCCAACTTGTGGGGGCATATGAAGGAATTGCAACCGACCAGACGAGACAACACCCTCTGTGTCGACTCGAAAGGCGGAGCTAGTCGACTCGAAGCCAGTCAACATAAAGCCGGACCAGACGAGACGATACCCCCTGTGTCGACTCGAAAGGCGGCCTTAAACGACATGCTTTGTGGTGCCTGTCGACACGAAGCTGGACCAAACGAGATGACACCCTTGTGTCGACACGAAAGGCGGTCTCGGTCGACATGCCCTACGGTGTCAGTCGACACGCCCTGCGGTGTCAGTCGACACGCCCTGTGATTCTTTCCTATTGTATGATATTCTGTTAATATCTTGACATATCACTTACCTCTTTTAGTTCCAACAATTATGTAACCAATTAGGTAGTTTCAGATTTTATGTAACTAATTGATTCTCTTGTAATCCTATAAATATCTCCTAACATCAATGAAAGATTTTATGTAACTAATTGATTCTCTTGTAATCCTATAAATATCTCCTAACATCAATGAAAAAGGCTATGCCATTATTCAGCAATTATGATTCTCTTGTAATCCTATAAATATCTCCTAACATCAATGAAAAAGGCTATGCCATTATTCAGCAATTTCAATAATTTAACACTCTTTGTGTTTGGCAACTTAGAAGGGGTTAATTCTATTTACACCTTATTCATTTATTTTTTGAATTTTTTTAAGGTTAAAGAGGAGTTAACTCGTCTTAACCCTTACCTTTACTCTTTACCATATAGCACCTCAAGTCGTAGTAGTTCTTAGAAATAGGTATCTTTATTAGTTTTGCCATTTGTTATTGTTGGCTACATTAGGGAGCGTTTGGCAACCGTGACGTTTTTGTCATTTCTGTTTTTTCAACAAAAACAAAGAAATGCGTTTGGCAACCGGGGCGTTTTTTTAACTTGTTCATTTACAAAATCTAAAAATTAAAACACTTTTCTCAAAACACCAAAAAGGTGTTTTAAGATTCTGTTTTTTCATCTAAGCCGTCGTAGCCCTAAGAACTAAGTTTTTGAAAAGAGGTAGACCACTTCCTATTTCCGTCCCTATATCTTGAAATTGTATTTTATGAAACCCATCTTCAGGAAGACTAATGGATGACTTACCCTTAAAGTTAGTTAACTAAAATTTGCTGCTTTAAACACTGACAACAACAAGAAAGAAGGAAGAGTAGATCATGCAGCTCGTTAAATGTAAGAGCTAAAATGTTATGTTTATGCTATGATAGATACATTGGTTCTTAGATAGGGGTGAAAATGAACCAAATAATTAACAAATAGTTCGATAATTGTTCGAATAACTATTCAGTCATATTCGATTCGGTAGTTCATTTACTACTCAACAAATATTTTTTTAGTATTCGAGTTTACTAACGAATAGATTTTAAACAGATGTATATTCGATTCATTTGTCTATTAAATATTCGTTAAAATTTGATCACACATTATTATTTGTATTATTGCACATATGATGTCATATTTTTAACTCATTTACTATTTTTACGTAAGTTTTATATACGGATTTTAAGACTTAAATAATCTTAAATCTGTTTTCTTATTAAAATTTTGATTTAAATATATACATCATATAATATGAAGAAATAATTTTATTTATGAATTTTAATATTATTTGAAAATCAAAAATTTTAGCAGAATAAATATACTTTGATATTCGATAAGTACTCGTAAATATTCATGAATATTAATCAAATACCAAGTATTCGAGTTCGAATTCGAAAATCTAGATATATGAATATTAGAGTCCGCATTCGAATTCGAGAATTTTAAACAAATACAAATACGAACACCTTAATATTCGATTCGATTCGATCGTTTACCACCCCTACCGCCCGCCCACTGTCGCTATATAAAAGGTCAAACTAGTTTGACCAAAATGGTGTTTTGAAAACACATTTGAAAAAGAAACATCATGGCATGATATTTTTTACAAAAACACAACAAAAAAATACATTGATTACCAAACACACCCTTACAAATAGCTTTTTGAAGGCACAAAATTTGATCCAGGTTAAC